GATGGCAAATTTTTTGTTCCTCAGAACCACAGAACACCCAAGAATACTCAATATCGAGGTTGAATCTCTGTAGGGTTTTCTTGCTGGATATATTCTATGCATTATTTTAAGCGAAACCTAATTAATTTTATCATTCAAGCAAAACTTAGCCCCAACTACCCAAATTTTCCTCCAATCAAAATCTCCATACATCGATATCCAAAAAAAATTTTCTGAGGGCACAGTTACTGTTAGCATGAGGCCCTTGATAAATTTAGTAGAACGTTTATTCTTTGTAATATCAATACCTCCAAGGAACAAAGCAGAATTATTTGGTAGATCTGTCGTTGAGATAATTGATCATCTAATCAAGGGCATCCTTGTCTTATTCTCCTACAGATATCAAATCTGGGAGTAGTACTGTGGGCTAACCTAACAGAGCCGTTACCGCCTTTATACAGTTTTAATGGCCTTCTTAAAGTGGCATCCAAAACCAAAACATGTCATAGTTTTAAATATAAATTGGTGACTAATCATGCCAAATGCTTTGTAAAAATCAACAAATAAAATTAGACTATCCTATATGTTAATTGTAATTGTAATCAATCATATCTAATATTAATTGTACATTATAACATATATGTCTTCCAGGCATGAAACCAGATCGTTCTTCATCAATAATCATATTAAATATTAGCAAATATTTTGGCATTGTTATTCAGCAGACTAATAGGTCTCTAATTCTCAATGCTCAGCTTGTCTTGTTTTGGTTTAGGAATTAATTTAATAAGGCCTTGATGGAGAGTTGGTGGAAGTTGTTCTTTTTCTATAGCTTCTTCAAAAAGAGCAACTAAAAATGGGGCTAATATTTCACTAAATTCTTCATACAATTCACATATCAACCCATCATTACCCAGAGATTTGTTATCCTTCAGAGAGTTGATGCATTTTTGTATCTCTATTCAGCTAACTCTTTTGTTACACCTAGATTTGAAACCGGCATCAATACCTTTAATATGCTTCTTAATATCTTACAAATGTAAATCCATATTTTCTTTCATTTTCAAAATCAGCAGCATATAATTTCTGGTAGAAGTCAGCTACAAACTGGGAAATATATTTTTCATCCTCACATACTTGGTTATCTTTAAGTTTACACAGAGATGATGTCTCAAAGTTCCTTTTTTCCAGATTAAAAAAGTATTTGGTACACTTTTCACCTTGTTCTAGCCACTTCCTTCGAGAAGGGTCACCTGGCCCTGTTCCTCAAACATTCTGTCCCATTCAAGTTGTAAAGCTGACAATTCATTTAGTTCTTCTCTGGACAGGTTTACTTTCTCTGATAGTCTTACTATATTTGTAATTATCTGATGTTCTCTCTCTTTAATTGCCTTGGCACTTTTTTTCCCAAATGTAATAGCTATTTTTCTAATATCATATTTCATTAGTTTCCAATAATTCTCCCATTCGTTTAGTAAACTTGCTTGCCTTCAGTATTTTTCAATAATTTTTGGGCTTTATTTTTAAATTGCTTATTTAGTAACAGTGTTCTATTCAATTTCCAATAATCTCCATTAGAGGTGTATCTAGTTGCTGCCATATTAACCTTAATTGTGACAGCCTGGTGATGTGTCAAGACTGTAGGTTTTATTTGTGCTCACTCCACCTTATCTTTTATGTCTGATTAGATCAACCAGAAATCTATGCGAGATTGTTGAGATCTGTTCTTATTACTCCAAGTGTACATTTTTTGGTTTGGGTTTCTGTGTCTCCAGATGTCAATAAGACCCATCCTACCACAAATATAACCTAATTGGCTCATTGCTTTGTCCTTAGGAGGCCATCTGTCCAGGCTTTTATCCATTACTGTATTGAAGTCTCCTCCCCATAGTACTTTGGCTGTGGGGAATGCTCGTAACAGCTGGTTAATTTTGTTTTCTATTGCTGAAACTATAACTACATTTTTTGGTTTACTATTGGATGCATATAAATTTATGATAATAAACTGATAATGGTTAACATCTACAAGACAGATTATCCATCTACCATTAACGTCTGAAAAGTGATTGATAACGTTACCTTTACACTTTCCCTGCAAAACAGCAACCCCTGCTGATCTGTTGCTACCAAAGGAAAACCACACATTTCATCCCCATTGAATCCTCCAAATTGACACAACTGCTTCTGAAGCGTGAGTTTCTTAGGATTTGAGGAAAACTGCTGTCTGCGACAGACCAATACATTCAATAGTCTTCTTTTCTTACATTAAAGGCTCATTACACGCAACCTTTTTATATCATAAACCATACAAATCACAAGTCATATTCGATATTTCAACATAGGCCTGTTAGCTAAGTCAATAAAAGGAAATCTGTCAGAAACAACAATTTGATACCAATTTTTTATCACCTATGTGTTGCTCATCATCACCCTTTTTCCATTAATGTAGGCAAATGGACCTCAGAAGCCTGCTCTCTGACCCTCCTTCCTCGCCTGCTCCACCAAAGGCCAAAGTTTTTTCCGGGCATCCTTGGCTTTTGGGGTCAAATCTTCCGTTATTCGTATTTTTCTCTCCTTGAGCATGGCTGATGTTTTTGCATCTTTCCAGATTATGTCCCTGTGATACCGCAGAAGGAAATGGACGATGATCCAGCGGCTGGAACATGGCTCCATGCGTGGGCCCAGTCTGTGAGTGACGTCCCCGAGAGGCTCAGTTGGTCAGCGATGTTAGGGGAAACCTGGCTGAAGAGATCGATGATGATCCTCTTGATATTTTCTCCAGGTCGCTTAGGTATCCCAGCAACTCGAAGATTCCATCTCCTCTCATAGGTGTCCAGACCGTTACACTTTGGAAAGCGTTTGTTTCCCCAAAAATTCAATCGTCAGTGATGCTTTTTAAGGTATTATTATTGTCTTTAACTACTGTTTCCACTGATTGAAGCTGTCTAAGAGACTCATGTTGCATCTTCTCAATTCTTTCCATCACTGTCAGCAGGTATGCATTTGTCACTGTCATAGATTGTACGTCCTGCACCCCAGTAACTGTCTTTGTTTTTTTTTTACTTGGTCTCGTTATAATTTCTGGGGTATAATGGGGGATAATGAATATTGAACAGAGAAAGGTTGAAGTTATTGTTGGTTCGGCCCTCCAACACAGTTTAGGTTTCTCATATGGCCCCATGTAAAGATTAATTGCCCACCCCTGGGCTGAGTAAAAAGTAAAGTTTATATCTTTTTGTGTCATTTATGTTGAATAGACCTTGAGATTAGACGTTTTATCAGCCCAAATGTTTCACTGGTGTGACTTGATTTCAATGCGAAAAACGCAAACCTATGATGATCGGTAAATTTAACTATGTTTCTAAGGTGTTCCTTCCATAAACTGTATATACTATGGACAACTTGGTTCCGCCTTCCTCCAGTATATGGATTTGAAGCAGAAAAGCACTCGGTAATTCCGCGTTTTTCTCCACTTGAAACCAACATAGCGCAGTAGCGTTGTACGCACTTCATCACTTGTGCAGTAGCATTGTACGCATTCAGCAGGAGAGTCACTGTGATGACGCTCGGCTCAAACAGCGTATCCCCTGTGAGCTATGCAGACTTCATACACCTATAGGCTGTATCAAGTGTCAATCATAGAAAACATGAACCCCTTAATAAGTTTTAAAAATAAGAATAAGAATAACTTTATTAATCCCCAATGGGAAATTCAATTGTCTGTTGTCTCACATAATATGTCTCTAAAAGTTATCTACTATTTACACAAGAGTTATAAAGCCTGATGGCTGTTAGTACAAAAGATCTTCTTAATCTTTCTGTCCTGCACAGAAGAGAGAGGAGCCGTCCAGCACCATTGGCTCTTTGGTCCATCAAGGTGTTGTGAAGTGGGTGATCCATGTTCTTTAGAATAGTCTCCACCTTCCTCAGTGTAGATCTCTCCACCACATCCTCCACTGAGTCAAGCTTGAGTCCAACCACAGAGCCAGCCTTTTTCACCAGTTTGTTAAGACGTCTTGCATCTTTGTGTTTGATGCTTCCTCCCCAGCAGACTGCAGCGTAGAACAGAACACTTGCCACCACAGACTAATAAAACATCAGTCCAAACATTAGACCAGTCCAACTTATTATCCAGCTGTACACCTAGGTATGTCTATGATGTCACCACTTTGATGTCCACTCCACAGGTGTTCACTGGCTGAAGAGGGGGCTTGGATCTACGGAAGTCTATGACCATCTCCTTTGTTTTTGAGGTATTGAGGAGGAGGCAGTTTTTGTGACTCCAGTCACTGAAGGCTCTTATCAGATCTCTGTATTCAGCTTCTTGTCCCTTTCTGATACATGCCACAATAGCGGTGTCATCTGAGTATTTCTGGATGTGGCAGGACTCAGTACTGTATTTGAAGTCTGACGTAAACAGTGCGAACAGGAATGGCACCAGCACTGTCCCTTGTAGAGCCCCTGTACTGCTCATTAATGTCCCAGAAACACAGTTTCCCAGCCTGACAAACTGTGGCCTTCCTGTCAGGTAATCTGTGATCCAGGAAACACAGGAAGGATCCACTCCCATCTCTGTGAGCTTGTCTTTGAGTATGGTGGGTTGGATTGTGTTAAATACACTTGAAAAGTCACAGAACATGATCCTCACATAAACCCCAGGTTCCTCCAGATGAGACAGGACATAAAGCATATAGAAGACTGCATCATCCACTCCAATGTGCTCTTTGTATGCAAACGGCAGGGAATCCAGTTTGTCTTTGACCTCAGACCTCAGAAGGCGTAGAATCAGCCGCTCCAGGGTTTTCATGATGTGTGAAGTGAGGGCCACTGGTCTGTAGTCATTGAGTTCAGCAGGACATTTTGTTTTTGGTACTGGCACAATGCAGGATGTTTTCCACAGAGTAGGTACCCGCCCCAGCTGTAGACTCAAGTTGAAGATCTTGTGGAGAGGTTGACACAGTTCTGCAGCAAAGTCTCCAAGCAGCCTTGGACACACACCATTTGGACCAGCTGCCTTCCCAGTAGGCCTGCACGATATATCGTTTGAGCATCGTCATTGCGATGTATGTGTGTGCGATAGTCACATCGCAGAGCCTGCGATGTCGGAGGTGAATGAACTCAGTTAATTTCAAGGGTAACTGACTGAGATACACTGCATGTGACTCTGCATGTGCTGTGCAGCGATCCACCAATCACCTTCATTCTTTACTCAGTTGCCAATCAGACTCAGTTCTTAGTTGCCAATCAGACTACTCTGCCAGCTGTCAATCAAAATCAAAGAGGAGGAAACCCACCCCTGCACATGTCCTGCACTTGGAGGGAATCGCTGGTGCTACTGGAGTTGTGCCGAGAAACGCGTGTCCGCTGAGAATTACTTTCAGAACATTCTTCATCGCTGTTTAGCCCAACAAATAAGAACTGTATGGGTTTTAAATTGTACATTTCCGTGGACCACTCTACTATAAGCAGTGCGCGTTTTGTGAGGTGCAGAGGTGCATGCAATTCTCAGAGGACAGGCGTTTCTCAGCTCAACCCCGTTAACAACAACAACAACGATCGCAAACTGAGCAACACACAGAGAAAACCAAGGAAGATGACTTGTTGCCAAAAAGAAAAGGAAAGTCAGTTATCTGGAATTATTTCGGTTACAAGATGGATAATGTCGACCAAAACACGTCTTCTGTGTTCATCTGTTTCCACAATAACGTCCCAGAACAATAAAAGCTAAAAATATCTCTTAGACAGACAGAAGCCATTCTACTAACATTCACAAAAAGAGTTAAGATCAGAGCAGGTTAACTGTCCTCAAGATTTCAGCAGTGCAGCACAACATAAAGTGCTATTCAGGTCATCTGGTGAAAATTCCTTTATTTTTTTATATCGCAATATATATCGCAGGGTTGAAAAAAATCGCAATGCTAGTTTTTTCCAATATCGTGCAGCCTTACTTCCCAGGACGAAGTCTTCCAAGCTCCATCCTCACCCCTGTTTCGGTTACAGACAAGGACTGGTGTTCTAAATAGAGGTAGTTGAAGTGGTTGAGACATTTGAACGAGATGGAGGAGGAAGGGGAGAAGTTGTAGGGGAGATTTGTTGTGGAGAGGAAGGTGGAGTAGCAGTGGAAGTGGGTGTGACAGCAGTGTCAAATCTGTTGAAGAACAGGTTGAGTTCATTAGCTCTTTCCACATCACCCACCACTGGCTGTCTTTTCTTTTTACTGCTGTGTCCAGAGATGGTACTGATTCCTGTCCACACTTCACGGACGTTGTCCATGTAGATTCTCATTCATCCAGGTCATGGTTTTCTTGAAGACTTAAAAACAGGCAACTGGACTGTGTAGAGTTGAGAACAGCGCCTAGCCACTGGTTCAGATATGTGGATGACACCTGGGTTAAGGTCAAAATACATGAAGTAGAGGCCTTCACTGACCATATCAACACAATGGACAGCAACATCAAGTTCACCTGTGAAGATGTCAAGGACAATGTGTTGGCCTTTTTGGACTGTGCTGTACACTTGGAGGCAGATGGGTGTCTCAACGTTGAAGTGTACAGGAAATCCACACACACGGATCAATATTTACTTTTTGATTCCCACCATCCTTTGCAGCACAAACTGGGTGTCATCAGAACACTAAACCACTGGGCTGAGAACATTCCCACAAAGACAGAAGGTAAAGAAAAGGAACAGAAGCACATCAAAAATGCCCTGACAACCTGTGGATACCCTAAGTGGGCCTTTGTGAAGAACAAAAAGAGAAATAACACTGAAAGGGAGGAGAGACTCAAGAGCACTGTAATCCCTTACGTTGCAGGCCTGTCGGAAAAACTCAAGAGGATCTTTGGCAAACACCATATTCCTGTTCATTTCAAGCCTGGCAACACACTAAGGCAGAAGCTAGTCCACCCCAAGGACAAAACACCGAGATATAAACAGTAATGTGGTGTATGCTGTCCAGTGCAGAGAGGAATGCTCGGACCTGTACAATGGGGAAACTAAACAACCACTTCACAAGCGCATGGCTCAACACAGGAGAGCCACTTCCTCAGGTCAGGACTCAGCTGTCCACCTTCACTTAAAGGACACGGGACACTCTCTCGAGGAAAGCAAGGTACAGGTGTTGGCTCGAGAAGACAGATGGTTTGAAAGAGGAGTTTAAGAAGTTAAAGAAGGATTGCTTCTATGTCACTTGTGATCCAGGGTTTGTTGTTGGGGAAACAACAAACAGTCATTGTCGGTATAACTGTGTCTCTACAGAAGTTGACATAATCAGTAAAGCAGTCAACCTGTTTGTCAATGTTCATACTATCCACATCTGTTTCCAGCAGCACATTCCAGTCTGTTGATTTAAAACAGTCCCTTAGAGCTTCACTGGCTTGAGGTGTCCATCTTCTGATTTTGACTTTAGTCACAGGCTGCCTTCCTACACAAGGTCTGTAACAGGTCTGCAGATAAACCAAGTTATCATCTGACTTGCCCAGTGGTGGTAAGGCAATGGCTCTGTAGGCTTCTTTGACGTTGGCATACAGCAGATCCAGGGTTTTGTTTTCTCTGGTAGGACAGTTCACAAACTGTGAATCCAGTCGGGTGAGAGGAGAGGGTGACATGGTTGAAGTCTCCTGATATTATAATTAATGCCTCAGGGTGTTGAGTCTGTAGCCTGGCAACACTATTTTGCAAAACATTGCACGGAATTTCTTCAGTTGATTTGGGTGGTATGTAAACAACTATTGTTATGATATGACTAAATTCTCTTGGAACATAATATGGCCGAAGAGCAACTGCCAACAGTTCAATATCTGGACAACACAACTTCTCCTTGACAATTATGTGTGAAGGGTTACACCATCTCTGGTTGACAAATAAAGCCTGACCACCTCCTTTCTTCTTGCCACTAGCTTGAGCATCTCTGTCTGACTTTACACGAGTGAAGCCAGGTAGATCCACACTGGAGTCCGAGTTGTTTTGATTCAACCAGGTTTGAGTAAAACACAGGAAACTGCACTCACAGTATACTTTCTCAGTCTTCACCAATATCTCTAGCTCATCGCTTTTGTTGGGCAGAGAGTTGACGTTTCCTGTGATGATTGATGAAAGAAAGGGTTTATATCGCCACCTCCTAGCATTCAGCTTTGCCTTCACCTTTGCACCAGCACGGCAACCGCGATAACACCTCCTCATGTCCTCTGGAATTGTATGTTGTTGTTCAGATTTGCTTTTCCTCAATGACAGGAGCTCTTGTCTTGAGTAAACTTTTTGCCCAGCAGAAGTATCCATCAGCAGCCAACAAAATTACAACAAAAATATGAAAAAAATCTAGCAAAAATTACAGATAATGCAGAGAGACCAGACTTGCAGCAACCTCTCAGTTCAAGCACATCATTTTTTCTGGAGCTGCACAGAAAAAAAGGGGTCCTGAGCACAAACCAGTTTTACAATAACTACATGTCAACATCCCAAGCAGGGGGGAGAGAAATGTATATTCTGTGTAATAAAGTTCTAAAGTTTCTCCACAGCTCCATAAGGATTGCTGGAGGAGGCGAGATTTATGACCTATCTTGCCGCCCATCACCAGAGTGTGCTGTTCTCGGGGTGGCTTCACCCAGCGAGGAGGCAGACAGCGTCCATTCTATATACAGTCTATGGTTCTGTTGCAATCGAGCCCACTGTATCATTTAGCATATATCATCACTGAGAGGTAAGAAAGCAACAAGCAACAAAGCATCAAGGAATTCTATTGTATCAGCTATCAATATCAGCTGTTTATTGTGTGCCGAAATATGCATCCAATAATTAATGATTCAGACATTAACAAGTCATATTTTTGTGAACATTACGTATGTAGTCTCTCTCACCCTGGCTGGGAGAGATCAAAATTGATATTTCAGGATTAACCCAATGACCTAAAACGGAAAACAAACCATTTGGCGCCAGTTCCGAAAAAACCAGATACCTGCCATAAAATTCTTTGAGTGACTGTTTCTCTCCATGGCTTTCTTTAAAGGAGCAGAAGGAAGAGGATGCCTGAAAATGGTTTAACTTCATGTTTAATGGACACTTCACCAGAATTTTCTGTCTGTACACCACATTCTTAATGAAATGGTCTTTTCCCCAATTTTGTAACACATCCACAAGCCAAACTGTTAACTTCATAAATTTATTCCAGGTTTTCCATGGATCAAGAGCTCCTCCTAGTGGTGATGCCTAAATATGGTTTGATCAGAGCCAAATGGCAGGAATCTAATCATGTGTATTTCTTCCCTTTTGTTTTATACACTTCGTAGCTTAGTAAATGGTATTCCCAAGATAGGCTAGTAGTTTTAGAAGTAATAACGTGAAACTCGTTTAGACTCAAGTTAAGAGTTTCTGAATGTATCCATACTATGTTTTGTCTACCTCACACAAATATATATATTAATCATCTATGAAGCTTGATTGACAAGGTTATAGTGTTGTCAAATATTATTACATATGTGTTTCTTACGCTGGATGGTGTTTCTGTTCGAATAGATAATTTGTTTTCTGTCCCTCTCTAACTTTTAAAAGTCGTTAATCCTCTGTTTTTTTTATCAAGAAGACGGCTGATCAAAAGTTTACTGTTTTCAATGTCATGCTTTAATGCATCTGCTCATAAGAAACAATGAAGTGAAATGTGATCGTATGTAATGTTACAAACAGTTTAATCATAGTGAGTGAGTAAATTAGATCTAGCTCGCTTTTACTATCAAGTTGAGTTAATTCGCTGCCAGTCAATGGGCTGCATTGGGGAGGTCCCCCCCCCTTTTCTCATCTTTGGTTCACGCCTACGGTGAATCTATTAAAAGAGTTGAGATTTTGCCGCTCTTCAGTCTTGTTTCTCTTCAGTTTAGTTTTCTCTTCGTCTAGTCTTCTTTTTAGTTTCCGTCTTCGTTTGAGTCTAGTCTTTTCTTTTGTCTTGTTCGTAGTTTTCTTTGTCTCCGTCTATCGTTCGCAATTTTCCCTGCGTTTTTATTAAGTGCCTTAAGCTCAGATTTTTCTTCTAAAACTTGGATGAAACCATACCCAATTCGATTAAAGCCTCAGTAACAAGCTGCGCGCATAAGAGAACCTCAGTCTAAGTCTTTTTATTTATTTTTGTTCGCTAAAGTGACTCCTGAAGATAATATTGGCTGGCCAGCGAAATTATTTTCTTAAGTTATTGGCGCGAATTAATCTGCAACCAAGCTAGTCCTGAACGCCGACCAGCATCATCTGCCGAGCTGCTTTGCCACCCGGTTCCGAGAGGCCCAGAGATCCGAAGTATCTAACGGCGCTGACACGGTCCTGAAGCTGAGATCCAGACACGGTGGAAGAACTCCCCGCCGAACCTCAGTATCCGGTCCGGTAGCCACAGAACTTCAGCTGATCCATTCCAAGAGTGCCGCTGAGAACCGACGTCCAAAGTAGGCAAAATCCTCGAAACTGCTGTGATGAGAACTGGGTGATGCCGTCAACCGTTCAGAAGCTTACTCTCATAAGTTATAGTTTAGTTCTCCAAATTCTTCTAAATTTACCCTCGTAACTCCGTTAACGTAGGTTAAATTTTCCCTTATTCACTCACTATCATTAACCTCCAGTCTTAGGTTTAATTTAAACCATTCCTTCGTTTATTCATTAGATGTGCTTTGATTTTCTCATTATTTGATCATCATTTATTGACGTTTTGTTATCATATAGCTTGTTAATAAATTCTGTGACCGTGTTTTTCCTATCAGCAGGTGTGGGTGTGGGGGTGACGTATCCTCCGCTGATGAATCGTGGGAAGCTTTTGAGAAGGATCCATCCTTATCAGAAGGAGCTCGTTAGATGCCGCCTTGACCTTCACATATTCACAAATTGTTCATTATTATGTTCTATGAAATGCTTACTTTGCAGCACATTTACCCCCACCCTTTTAGAAACATTGTGTAACCAGGGACAACCCTAAATAAAAGAGGCGGACAGAGAAAGTACCCTTAGAGTGGTATTGAGATAGCTAAAAAAAAGATCTCTGTCCATTCTCCTCGAGTATATTCCATTGTCTTTCTCCTTTTTTGTGTTTTCAGGTATTTGGGCAGGTTTTAGACCCAACATTTCTTTGGTCCTTCGAGCCGGATTCCAATAGACCTGACGATTCCAGCAGGTGAGGTGGATGACAGATAAGACCGTGGCCACGGCAGCCTCTCTTTGAGGAACTGGACTCGATCCGCCTGCTGGGATCCGACGGTTGACGGAAATCCGAAGCCAAGGGGAAAGACAAGTGGTGAGTTGGTCTTTTATAAAAAGGAACGTGGAATGATTGAGATTCGCTCCGTGTAGAGAATCTATAAAAGACCAAACAACAAAAAAAAAAGGACAGGCAGGTCCTACAAATCCGTTGAAAAGGACGAACGGGTCCTACAAATCTGCTGAATAAGGACAAACGGGTCCTACAAATCCGCTGAAGAAAAAATATAAAACGGTAGATTCCTAATTGGAAAAGTTTAAATTAAAGGACGTGCGGGTCCTACAAATCCGTTGAAAGAAGACGCGCGGGTCCGGTGTTGTACCGTGGACAAAGGCCTAATTGAGAAAATTCTGCAGAACAAAACACGTGTTAAAAGTGTGATTGTGAAACTGTGAGAGTGATTGGAATAGAGATATATCACTAGATATATCCTATTCATACCAAAACAGTGGGATTGTAAGTAGTGACCTTATTGTGGAAGCAAAGGCAAGAATTCTCCACTCGTAAGAGTAGAAGCGAGAATTACCACGTAAGGAATTTTTATCACTACCCCATTGAAAGAACCCAGCTTAATTGGACACCCTAGGTGTCACCTAAGCTGGACCAAAACACATAAAATGGGGACGGAAGCCAGTAAGGCTAATTTGGACAAATTAAGATGTCAAGATTGGAGAATCTTTGAGAAAAAGCCAGAAAAGTTACAATTTTCTCGAATTATGGGTGACTAAATTTGGATTTGACGGCAGCCTAAGAACAAGCCAATTAAATAAACTACAAGACTCCATAAGTATAAGATCAAAGGGTGATATAAAGAAACCACAAAAATAAGGGAGTCAAATGGTTGATGAATGGAAAAAAGAACCAAAAGCAAGCAGAAGAGGGTTCAGAGGTAGAGGACAAGATAGGCCCAGACCAGGAGGAGCAAATCAAAGAGGGACAGGTTGCTGGGCATGTGGAAAGGAGGATCATATAGCCCGCAATTGCAAGAACAAATCAAAGGGAGTGTGGTGAGACGCCTCCTCATCCTGTTTTATTTTGGCTGGACTTCCTGTTTTTCCCTGTTTGCCTGGTCTGGCTGTACTCTTTTCCAGAGCTTCCTCCCCTCCCCCGGCGCTGAGGCTGAGTGAGACGACACACCTGCTCCTCATCTCCAATTAAGGGACTTTAAGAAGCCTGCAGCCCTCAGTCTCAGCGCCTGAGTATTGTCTACCCTTCCTAGCGTGTCTCCAGCCCCCACGACAGCCAGCTTCCCGTGTACCAGCCTACCGGACTTCCTCGTTTGCTTTTCAATCCTGAGTTTGGAAATTAAAATTCACTTTAAGTTGATCTCAGTCTCGGTGTCTGCATCTGGGTCCTCACTACAAACCTGCCACACAACAGAATACTCAGGCCAGGAAAATGGACCCAGCAGACCTAGACAGAGTTCAGCTAGCCGTCCAGAAGCTCGGCACGCGGCTTGGCCAACATGAGGATATGCTCCAGAGTCTCCACCAGTCGTTTCATGGCCTCTCCGTTCAAATGTCACAGCTGGCTGAGCAACTACTCCCTCGGCCTCCACCGCAGCAAACAGGATCTCCCCCCTCCGTGAGTACGTTCCCCTCTTCGCCTCCTCCACCACCCACTATCCTCAAAGAGCCCTATGTCCCTCCTCCTGAGCCGTATGCTGGGGAGATTGGGGGCTGCAGAGGTTTCCTACTCCGATGCGCCTTAGTGTTTGACCAACAGCCCATTAGTTACCCCTCAGATCGAGCTAAGATCGCCTACACCATCAATTTGTGAAGAGGTAGGGCCGCTAAGTGGGCTACGGCCGTCTGGGATAGGGACTCACCTCTGTTCGCCTCTTACGCCCGTTTTTCAGAAGAGCTCCGTAGAATATTTGATTTTCCAGTCGAGGGCCCTGAGTGCACCAAACGGTTGTTTTCCCTCACCCAGAGCTCTCGGTCAGTGGCGGATTACTCCATTGAGTTCCGTACAGTGGCGGCCGAGAGTGGGTGGGGGGAACTCGAGTTAAAAGAGGCATTCACTCGGGGTCTCTCAGAACAATTGAAAGACGAGCTAGCGGCTCGAGATGAGCCTTCCTCCCTTGAGGAGCTAATAGCGTTAGCTATTCGTATAGATAATCGCCTCAGGGAGAGACGGAGGGAGAAGGAAATCCATTCCCTGGTCCCTAGAATAGACTCCCCTTCCTCTGTTGCAGTCAGCAGGTCTCCTCTGCAGCCCTCAGCTCCTCTGGCTCCGACGCCCTCCACTGGAGAACCCATGCAAATCAGCCACACCTCCTCTACCTCCAGCTCCCCCAGGCGTATCACAGTCCCTGACTGTCTCCTTTGGGGAAAGGAATCCACTTCCCTCCAAACCCTCATTGACTCTGGGGCGGACGATAACTTCATTCACACCGGACTGGCAGCGCGGCTTCAGCTCCCCCTGGAGGAACTCCCGGTTCCCCGTAAGGTCACCGCTCTCGATGGCAGAGTAATAGCCTCCATTACACACCGCACTGCTCCCCTCACCCTCATCCTCTCCGGTAACCATCGGGAGGACATCCGGCTGTTCCTGCTTCCCTCTCCTCACTCTCCCCTGGTACTGGGACTCCCTTGGCTGCAAATCCACAACCCTCAGATTAACTGGTCCACATCTTCAATCTCCGCCTGGAGCCCTCACTGTCACTCCCACTGCCTCCGCTCCGCCAATCCCTACATCCACCGACAGAGGTCAGCATCTCCACCGCCATCTCTCACCTCGGTTCCCCCCGTTTACCATGACCTGGCAATGGTGTTCAGTAAGGAGCAGTCTCTTGTCCTTCCTCCTCATCGCCCCTATGACTGCGCCATAGACCTGCTCCCTGGCGCACCTCTTCCCAGTAGTAGACTATACAACCTCTCTCGGCCCGAACGAGAGGCCATGGAGGAATACATTCAAGACTCCCTGACCTCTGGACTCATCCGACCCTCATCTTCTCCCCTTGCTGCTGGCTTCTTCTTCGTGAAGAAAAAAGATTCCTCTCTCCGTCCCTGCATTGACTTCCGTGGATTAAATGACATCACCATTAAAAACAAATATCCCCTGCCACTCATTGATCCCTCCTTCGAACCTCTCTGTCAAGCCACCATCTTCTCAAAACTGGACCTCCGGAATGCCTATCACCTGGTTCGCATCCGGGAGGGGGATGAGTGGAAGACTGCCTTTAACACACCCATGGGCCACTTTGAATACCTGGTTATGCCCTTTGGCCTCACCAATGCCCCTGCTGTGTTCCAGACCCTCATTAATGATGTCCTCCGTGACATGATTACCAAGTTCGCCTTTGTCTACTTGGACGATATCCTGATCTTCTCCCGAAACCTGGAGGAACACCAGCAGCACGTCCGACTCGTCCTTCAGCGCCTCCTCGAAAACCGCCTTTTCGTGAAGCCCGAAAAGTGCGAGTTCCACGCCTCCTCCGTCAGTTTCCTTGGCTACATCATCGCCCAGGGGGAGCTACGCCCAGACCCAGAAAAAGTCTGTGCTGTCCGTGACTGGCCCACTCCCTCCTCCTGCAAAGACCACCAGCGATTCCTCGGCTTCGCTAATTTCTATCGACGGTTCATTAAGAACTACAGTAAGGTGGCAGTTCCCCTCACCCGGCTCACATCCCTCAAGGTTCCATTCTCCTGGACCCCCGAAGCAGACGCCACCTTCCATCATCTCAAATCCCTCTTCATCTCCGCCCTGGTGCTCAAACACCCAGATCCCTCGCTTCAGTTCGTGGTGGAGGTCGACGCTTCGGACTCTGGAGTAGGGGCCGTCCTCTCACAGAGGGACTCTCAGACCCAGAAGCTTCATCCTTGCGCCTTTTTCTCCCGGAAACTCTCAGCCACGGAACAAAATTATGACGTGGGAAACCGTGAATTACTGGCTGTCGTGTGGGCACTGCAAGAATGGAGACACTGGCTGGAAGGAGCACCCCAACCGTTTCTAATCTGGACAGACCACAAGAACCTGCAATACCTCCGCTCCGCTCGTCGCCTCAACCCCAGGCAAGCCCGCTGGTCCCTTTTCCTCAGCAGATTCAATTTCACCCTCTCCTATCGTCCCGGCTCCCGCAACCTCAAACCAGACACCCTCTCTCGGATCCACGCCTCGGATACCCCGGACCCCAGTGAACCAGACACCATCCTCCCCGCCTCCTGTGTCGTTGGATCCGCCACCTGGGAGATCGATACCATCGTGGACCAGGCCCTCCGGAACCACCCAGACCCTGGAACCGGCCCGCCGGACAGAAGGTTCGTCCCTGAGGTCGCACGTTCTCAGGTCCTACAGTGGGGGCACTCCTCCAAGCTCACCTGCCACCCCGGGTTTCAACGCACCCTCCAATTCCTCCAGCAGCGGTTCTGGTGGCCGGGGATGGTCCGGGACGTACGGGCGTTTGTTGCTGCCTGCTCCGTCTGTGCCCGAAGCAAAGCCTCCCACCAACCTCCGGCTGGCTTGCTGCGTCCTCTGCCTGTGCCTTCACGCCCCTGGTCCCACATAGCCTTAGATTTCGTCACTGGTCTCCCTCCCTCTGAAGGTAACACAGTCATACTCACCATCATTGACAGATTCTCCAAATTTGTTCACTATGTCCCTTTACCCAAGCTCCCATCTGCCTTTCAAACTGCTAACCTCCTAGTCACTCATGTATTTCAATTACATGGGATTCCCCGTGACATCTTATCAGATCGTGGTCCTCAGTTTTCCTCTCAGGTCTGGAAAGCTTTCTGCCAGGCAGTGGGCGCAGCAGCTAGCCTCTCCTCGGGTTACCACCCACAGACCAATGGCCAGACGGAGCGGGCTAATCAGAACCTCGAGTCGGCCCTGCGGTGTGTGGCGGCCCATCATCCAGCGTCCTGGAGTACGCACCTCCCGTGGATCCAATACGCCCATAACTCCCTCACCTCTTCAGCCACAGGTATGTCCCCTTTCATGTGCTGTTTTGGGTACCAGCCCCCCCTGTTTCCCGAACAGGAGCAACCTGTGGCCGTCCCGTCGGTGAGGGAGCACATTGGGCGTCAACGGGAGGTGTGGAGATCGGCCAGGGCCGCACTCACCCGCACGGCCGAGCGCAACAAACGCCTGGCTGACGTTCACCGCTCTCCAGCACCAGACTATCGTCCTGGTCAGATGGTCTGGTTATCGTCTCGTGACCTTCCCCTGCAGACCGAGTCCCGCAAGCTGTCCCCCCGCTTCATTGGTCCCTTCCCTATCCAGAAAATCATCAACCCTTCAGCGGTGAGATTAAAACTTCCCTCATCTCTCAAAATTCATCCCACATTCCATGTCTCCTTGTTAAAACCTGTTGCCTCGTGCACCCTGAGCCCTCCTTCCGTCGCCCCTCCACCCCCCCGATTGATTGATGACCACCCTGCCTTCACTGTAAGGAAAATCCTGGACGTGTGGCCTCGGGGGCGAGGCTTCCAATACCTCGTGGACTGGGAGGGTTACGGTCCAGAGGAACGTTCCTGGATCTCCCGCTCCCTCATCCTGGACCGCCAACTCCTGGAAGAGTTCTACGCTGCCCACCCCAACAAGCCCGGCAGAACGCCAAGAGGCGTTCGTTAAGGGGGGGGGGTACTGTGGTGAGACGCCTCCTCATCCTGTTTTATTTTGGCTGGACTTCCTGTTTTTCCCTGTTTGCCTGGTCTGGCTGTACTCTTTTCCAGAGCTTCCTCCCCTCCCCCGGCGCTGAGGCTGAGTGAGACGACACACCTGCTCCTCATCTCCAATTAAGGGACTTTAAGAAGCCTGCAGCCCTCAGTCTCAGCGCCTGAGTATTGTCTACCCTTCCTAGCGTGTCTCCAGCCCCCACGACAGCCAGCTTCCCGTGTACCAGCCTACCGGACTTCCTCGTTTGCTTTTCAATCCTGAGTTTGGAAATTAAAATTCACTTTAAGTTGATCTCAGTCTCGGTGTCTGCATCTGGGTCCTCACTACAAACCTGCCACACAACAGGGAGGAAGCCGTGAGCAGACAGGACAAGATCAAAAGCTATAAGTAAAGACAACTTTAATAATAATAATTATAAAAATAATACTGATAATAATGCAGAAATGAAAGGTAGAAAAGGCAGTTAAAAAGGCAGAAAGGTTTAATGCAGACTGCAAATTTTTTGCAATTTAAATTCTCTGTACAGTCTCTGTTCTCTGCACAAATGCCAGTTACGACCTTGACTCCTCCAGAGACACAGCAGCCAAAGAATTCCTCCCTATGCAGAAGCATATAGCTATCAAAAGACAAAACTGTGACTAAACTGTTACAGTCTATGAAGTGTAAGTTGTACATGTAGAAGTGTCGTTGGAGAAGAAGAGGTTTTTTGACCTCAGCTGGCATCCCTGTTAAACATTTGAACCAACTGATTGATATTTTACCTTATTGGAACTTAAAGAAGTAACCATAGTAAAGTGCAGAGAACACCAAAGCTAACTTGGGATTAAAAGCCCTCCCTATAATACCATTTAACATAAGATTAACTCCAAATGTGACAATGAATTTCATACTACATGAGATAAATAGGACGACTATGGGATAATAGGAGAGATGATAAACCATTTGATGACTGTGACAGAGAGAACAAGGAAGAAGCAGGCTAAGAGGCAGGAATTTCAATAGAGAAGGCGATAGAGAAAGTAGAAGTTTTTTACAAAGGTTATGAATTACAGGAGCTGAGAGGTGAAGAATAGTACCCTAACCAAGGTCATGAACCACAACATCAGAGAATTGCAGAGCTTTGGTCACTAGGTGAAGAGCTGTAGAAAAAGGTATCAAGCATGACTAGAAGAGGGAGAGACAGCAAGTGTTATTTGACAGAAATGAAGAGAAAGTGTGAACAGTGAAGAGACAGAGGAGGAAGAAGTGCTATACTTGAAGATCAATAAATATATATATGTTTTTGATAGATAGATAGATAGATAGATAGATAAATATACTTTATTGATCCCAAACTGGGAAATTCTCTTGTTATAGCAGCAAAAAGAAAATATAAAACTAAATATAAGAGGTACAATGCAGACTAAAAATACTAAGTATATATAAGAAATACAGGCTAAATATGCTAAACATCCTAAGAGATAAAAGTGAGATATGAAGAACGTGGGCTATTGAAATGAGTAATAAATATTGAAATGAGTAATAAATATTGAAATTAGTAATAAATATGAAATGAGTGATAAATATGAAATACGAAATATTACAGATGGGATGATAGATATACAGACAATTTAAGGTGCTCGGTAATCTGATGTGATAGGAGTTTTTAAAAATGGACTATACAGCAGACAGGTGTGAGTCCCTGTCTGACATATGCGGGTTATTTAACAGTGCAATAGCTTGTGGCAGGACAGATTTCCTGTATCTGTCCCTTCGATAGCGGAGCTGCAACAGTTTGTTGGAAAAGGAATACATTATGCAGACATAAAACCACAGATATAGTTAATGATTCATGGTTTATCTGTAACCTTTTTGTGTGACTCCAGTATAAAAAAAAAAAAAAACAGCTCTTGAACATAAACTACCACAGATTAGGTTTTCCAAACGAAAGATTTTGTCTGATCAGCAAACAGAGAGAGCTTTAGAGGCAGTAATAGCGAGTCATGGGCCTTGCCATGTCTCGACAGGAGGGATGAGTGTAGTAGTTAATCAACACTTTACCCCCTATTGATTCGTAAATTATTTAAAAAAAAAACAACAAAAAAAAAAACAATGCATCATTTGAATCCATGCACATGGACTTCATAGAATTAAATCAGTGTGAGAGAAAGAAATGGTGTTCAGTGTTAATAGATCCTTTCACTAAATGGATAGAATTATTTCCTGTCACCCATCCAGATGCATTAACAGTAGCAAAAATCCTGCGTAGAGAAATAATTTCTTGATTTGGCATTCCAAAACGAATCTATAGTGACAATGGAACTCATTTTGAAAATGAAATAAATAAATAAATAATAATAACTAGAAAATGCAATTTCTGAAGAAATTGCGAGATGGATTGCTCCAGCTGAAAATGCCATCGCTAAGCTGCTATTGTAAATGGTTTAAGTTCAAAAATTATGGGAAAGAGATGAGATTTGAAGATTCAAAAAGGTTTAAATCAGTTTAATTGAGTTGGAATTAGTTTGAAAAAAATTCAATACTGAATGAAGAATGAAATGATTTAAAACTGAAAAATTAAAATGATCATAATCTGAATGTATAGAGGAGTTGAAGGCTTTTAAAGTTGTGTAAAGAAAATGTGAGAAAAGGGCCATTTTGAAAATTCCGTAATGCATTTCTAATGGGAAAAATTGGTTGGAAAATCTGGAATATCTCGGAAAGTATGAATGTTAGAAAAATTTTGAATATAAGCTGGAATCTCCTGAAGTTTGAATGGTTTTGAATACATTGAAGTAAGTGGAAGGAATTAAAAAAAAAAAAAAAAGGTACTGCTAATGACACCCACAGCAGTAAAAATAGCACAAAGAAGTAATCGGATACATCTTTCCCATTGCAAAAAAACCCTATATGGGTTTTAGTTAGGAAAGTCTGACTTCAAAGGGGGGCGTCCTTATAGTGGGCGTTCGTCTCAATGTCAGTGAAGATTAGATGGTCTTGAATTCCTTAGGAGCTTAGGAAAATGGGGAAGTTAAGTATCTTACTTCTGCTAAACCTGAAACTGTTAATTTACCTACTGAAACATTATTTACAACTTCAGATGAACTTAAGGAAGGAAAGAGAAGTGACAAAAACAATAGTCCTCACATCCTGTGTGACAACCAATCAAAAATCACATTCAGCTGTTCTGAAGGCGACCATGTGCAGAGAGGAAACCTGAGAGACAGTGAGCAGGGGTATGAATCACCCAGACGGACACCACAGTTGCTTCATGTGGTGAAGACACTGAGAACTTTACCATAGCTTAACTGCTACTAGGCGTTTGTGTTATTCTGTTTACAATGGGATTTTGTGTATGCTTGTTTTGTCAATAAACACTTATACTTATGTTTATTAAAGGTAGATCACAAAATAAAAAAAATAATTAAAAAAATGGTGGAAGAATAATATTATTTAAGATATGAATAAAATATAGTGGAATGCTTCGCAATCCCTCTCAATAAAAAAATAATAATAATAATTTGAAGTGAACATGTGGTACAGATATGCAAAATATCTAGCAAAAATGAAGAATCAGTCTAACTTCTATGTCTGTACTAGGAATTCCCTAACCATAACAAAAGTGTACGTGTTTTCTGTAGCTGTACCTGAATGACAGCAGACTGATAATAGGGCCTTAGTGACCTTAATCCTAACTGTTGTAACTTTCCAGACCAGTGTGGCAAATTTAACCTCTGCAGTTAGTCTTATTCCTTTGTTGAGCCACTCCAGAGTAAAAGAAACTAGCAAACAGAGTCAGACCCGACTTATATAGATAGTTCCTCGTGAGGTACCAGATGAGTATAAACTAGTAAATCAAGTTGCTGCAGGCTTTGAGTCTCTCGTCTGTCCTTGGTGTACAATGAACAAAAATATAGTTCAAATCAGAATCAACTACATCCATTTCAACGTTCAAAAGCTAGGTAATTGGACTGAGGCTGGTATTTAGGACCGGTCACTCGCAGTTATCTGCAACATCCCTGATGGCTTTCCAAAACCGTATAGCCCTTGACATGCTGCTCGCAGAAACAGGAGGTGTATGTGCCATGTTTGGAGAAACGTGTTGCACGTTCATTCCTGATAACACTGCTGCTGATGGCAGCCTCACTCGAGCCATAGAGGGCCTAAAAACGCTTCACAGCAAAATGAAAGACCACTCAGGAATAGATAACTCCTTTTGGGATGATTGGATGAATGTATTTGGAAAATACAAAAATCTTGTAGATTCAGTCCTAATCTCTGTTGCTGTTTTTGCAGCTAATTTGACCTTGTGTGGATGTTGTTGTATTTCTGTATTTGTTCTTTTCTTAACCGTCTTATCACCACAGCGTTGTCCCCTGTGGAGCAGCTGATGCAGGAGCTGTACCCGCTGCTCCATCAGCAGGACGAGGAGGACAGACTTGATGACACTCAATGGCCTGACCTGTGCCCCAATCCTGATGATGAGTATAATTCTGATTAAAGCAACATCTTGTACCTCCGTGTGTAAATTCTTTGTAGTCATAAACATGAACTCGCAGCTGAAAATCGAGAGAAGTGGCTGAACTAGAGGGATTATGAGAATTTGAGCAAAGTAATGATAAACAGGAGGGAAATGTTAGAATAATGTGCATAAATGTATATAGAAGTTATCATTATTCCGCATATTCTTATGTAAGAGTTTATACTACAAGTATAAACTGCTTTGACCTCTTTTTATATATTATATAAGAGTATTTTTATCATATAAGAGTGTTTCCTAACTTCTCTCTCCAATAGCTTTACTACACAGACAACAATGTTTCTTTCAGTTTTCTGTGACCGTGTTTTTCCTATCAGCAGGTGTGGGTGTGGGGGTGACGTATCCTCCGCTGATGAATCGTGGGAAGCTTTTGAGAAGGATCCATCCTTATCAGAAGGAGCTCGTTAGATGCCGCCTTGACCTTCACATATTCACAAATTGTTCATTATTATGTTCTATGAAATGCTTACTTTGCAGCACATTTACCCCCACCCTTTTAGAAACATTGTGTAACCAGGGACAACCCTAAATAAAAGAGGCGGACAGAGAAAGTACCCTTAGAGTGGTATTGAGATAGCTAAAAAAAGATCTCTGTCCATTCTCCTCGAGTATATTCCATTGTCTTTCTCCTTTTTTGTGTTTTCGGGTATTTGGGCAGGTTTT